ATTTTAGTCGATGTGAAATTTTAGGGTAACACTATTTTGGAACTTAAGTGCAAAAATTTAAAATATTTTGGTAGCTTTATGAAATTATCTGACTTACTAAGGATTTGATGAGAATTATAGATATTTTGTGAGTTTAATGCTCAATTTAAAGTTCTAAAATGTTTATTGAAATTCACTTTTTAAAATAATTAAGGAGGGACTATGATAATTTTTTAGATTTTTTTAATTGTAGATAGTTAGAACTTGTTTAGAATTAACAAAATTTTGATTATTAGAATTTTCTACTTTTTTATGAATAGAAATTTCTAGTAATGGATATGAATAGTTTTAATTTAATGAGAATTCTTAGGAAGATAGAATTAGTTGGATACATGTCATTTTTTAATAGAATGGAAAATTAGTTCCATTATTTGATCTCTTTTAATATCAAATTTTGGTTGAAGATTTTGCCTTTAAATTATTTGAATATATTAGGAAAAATTAGAATGTAATATCCAAAATGATTAACGGTAAAATTGACCATATAAAGTTTTTTCAAACTCGTTTTTTATAAGGAGTATGATATGATATAATATGATATGATTACCCTACAGATTCAGACTCTTTTAGATGTTGGCCAATCTAATTATCTAAGGGTCCTAACACACAAATATTTTATTATGTCTTTTATTTAGGTTTCATGAATATTGGTAAAATTTAAACCGGATTAGATACGTGATCGAGAGTTCTCAATCTATTCACTTTATCATTTTACGGTTTATATTTAAAATTTTTAATATTAAATAAGTATGCTCAACCCACGTGGACTTTACTAGTTTATTTAAATTCCGTAAAGCTTCAGACTCTTGTCGTTAATTACCAGAAAGAGATCTGAGGTGGCCTGGTGGTTATCTGTTACTGCTCATATTTCATTTTTTACGTGTCACGTAGCCTTCTTCCTCGGGCTGTAATGCGATGACGTCATCTGTTTTATGTTAAAAACACCATGTATCCTTCACAGGTTTTTTATGCGGAAAATGATAGGGGCACACCACAAACCACAACCTCAACCATACTCCCTCTCTTATTTGCTACAGTGCATCGGGCCCCACATGAGATTTTAAAATTTTAAAATCCCATGTGGAGCCCGATGTACTGTAGCAAATGAGAGAGGGAGTGTGGTTGAGGTTGTGATTGGTGGTGTGCCCCTAGTGTCACCCTTTTTATGCAGCAATCCCATGTGTTCTGTCTCGTCTTTGATTGACATTTGCTTCTTTAGAAGCAAAAGAAGGTTTGGTAATGGCATTGTCAGCAAATTAAGGTAGTGTTACTTTGGTGCTAGTACGTACATTCGGATTTTGATATTGTCACTGTACGCCCTGTGCGAAGCAGGACCTTCCCCTTAATTTTTAATTTTTAATTGCTACAGTAATTCCGGTTTTTAATTGCTACATTATATTTATATTTAGATGATATACCATTTTTAAATGGCATGGTTTTTTAAAAATGCTACATTATTCCACCTCTACTACAGTAGCATTTTTTAAAAATGCAACAGTATCACCGTTATGTTTTTACTGCAGCATGAATAGTGATTCTTGCGCCCTCCCATTATTATAGAGGAATAGATTCGTTGGATTTTTTTTTCACAGGATGGATCGGTTACATTCTCATAGCTTGAGGCACGGGTGATCTTGGAGTATGTGTATTTATACTGATAATCTTGAGATTGCTGATCTTAATTACATGGTTAACCCTGGAATATGAGTACAATCACACGGTTGATCTAGAACATGATGCCAGGATCACGTAATTTTCTTCTTTCCCCCCTCTGACTTGGAATTCTAATCTGATGTTGGCTAGTAGCGGGGTTAGGGTTATAGAGTATTGTTTAGTGTTAGGATTAGGGTTGGGGTGAGGGTTAAAGTGAAGATTGCTAATAACGTTTGTTATAACCTTAAACATTGTTCTAATTAATCTTACCCTAATTCCAATCCTAACCAACATCCCACAAGAATTACATATCAGTAATGACTGGGGTTAATCTGCAACTAGTCCATGCATATGTAATCTCAAGATTAGCCATTCAGGTGTGGGTTTTAATTTAAATAACAAACCCAGTCATGTTTATTGATAGAGTGGTGCTAGGGACACACCTCTAACCACACCCTCCACCACATCCCCTCTCCCTTTATAGTGCATTGGGTCCCACATCAATTTTTTTTTAAAAATTTGATGTGGAGCCGAATGCACTATAGAAGGAGAGGAGGTGTGGTTAAGATTATGGTTGTGGGTGTGCCCCTAACATTTCTATTATTGATATCCGAAAGTGCGCATTACGAGGTGTCATTTTAGTTCAAATACGTGAATAAAATCGTAAAGTATTCTGTTAGGGTTATTTGCATAAATACCCCTTAAGGCGTGGGTATTTGCATACATACCTCCCAAATCTCTGTATCTACAAGACTACACCTTGATTCATCAGTTTTGAAAAAAAAAATTTAAGATTTGGGAGTATTTTTTTCAAGTACCCGTAATTTTAAGGGGCATGTATATGCAAATAACCACTTCTGTTACTAGATCAGTAGATCCCATCACGAATAAATTCGTTAATTCGGGGAAACCAACCGTCCAACTGTCAGGGTACAAACGCGTCAAGGAACGGACCCACTATTTACGGGCCACCGAGCTTCCCGCCTTCTATTAATCCCCTCTCCTCAAATTTAAAAAGAAAAAAAAAACCCTAAAAAAAAAACAACCATTCTAATAATAACACCTGTCCTCTTTTCTTTTTAAATCCAATATCTCTTCTCGCCCCCCGGCCCCCGTCATCATACATAAAAAGCCCCCCCGGGTCTCAACCGCCGCATCACGAGATGGCCGCCATCTCTCTGGAGAACATCAAGAATGAGAACGTCGATCTCGTCAGCATCCTGCATCCCCCCCTCCTCCTCTTCTTGAATTAATTCTTGTTGTTTTTTTTATTTTAAAAAAAAGCTTTTTTTTTCCTTATTTTTTTTTTGTTTTTTATTTTTTTGGGCCCGGGGGGTATTCAGGAGAGGATTCCGTTGGAGGAGGTGTTCCAACAACTGAAGTGCTCGAAGGAAGGACTCAGCACCAGCGATGGCGAGCAGCGCCTCCAGATCTTCGGCCCCAACAAACTCGAAGAGAAGGAGGTGCCTTAGTTTGCCGTCAGAACCATCATCAAACCCTGCACATCATTTATCGATTAATGTTGGCTAATTTTATTTTATTTTTTTTGATCAACAGGAGAGCAAGTTCCTCAAGTTCCTGGGCTTCATGTGGAACCCTCTGTCGTGGGTGATGGAGATCGCGGCCGTGATGGCGATTCGCCCTCCAACGGCCAGGGGCAAGCCCCCGGACTGGCAAGACTCCTCGGCATCATCATCCTCCTCTTCATCAACTCCACCATCAGCTTCATCGAGGAGAACAACGCCGGGAACCGCCGCCCTCATGGCCGGCCTCGCCCCCAAGACAAAGGTGCTCAGGGACGGGAGGTGGTCCGAGCAGGACGCGGCCATCCTCGTCCCCGGGGACATCATCAGCATCAAGCTTGGCGACATCGTGCCCGCGGACGCTCGGCTCCTTGAGGGGGACCCCCTCAAGATCGACCAGTCTGCGCTCACCGGGGAGTCTCTGCCTGTCACCAAGAACCCCGGGGAGGAGGTGTTCTCGGGGTCCACGTGCAAGCAGGGGGAGATCGAGGCGGTCGTCATCGCCACCGGGGTCCACACTTTCTTCGGCAAGGCCGCTCACCTCGTCGACAGCACCAACAACGTCGGCCACTTCCAGCAGGTTGTCCTCCTCGTTCCAACGTTGATTTTATGTCGTGACTGACGCATCCCGTGATATTTGTTGCCCGTGAAGTGAATCATAAAACGTTGTTTGCTGTGTCGATACTCAATCGAGTTATATGGTGCTGTTTCTTGATGTTGTGCAGGTGCTCACGGCCATTGGTAATTTCTGCATCTGCTCCATTGCGGTGGGAATGCTGGTGGAGATTGTGGTGATGTACCCGATCCAGCACCGGAAGTACAGGGACGGAATCGATAACCTCCTCGTGCTGCTCATCGGAGGAATTCCGATCGCCATGCCCACCGTGTTATCGGTGACGATGGCTATTGGGTCACACAGGCTGTCAGAGCAAGGGGCCATCACGAAGAGGATGACCGCGATTGAGGAGATGGCCGGAATGGACGTGCTATGCAGCGATAAAACCGGGACCCTCACCCTCAACAAGCTCACCGTCGACAGAAACATGATCGAGGTACTCGTGCACATAACAAACACCAAATGTTTCTGCCAAACTGTTCCTGGCGCTAGCTGGTACTCACTGTTTTATGCATGTTTTTTTATCATCATGCGCCAGGTGTTTGTAAAGGACATGGATAAAGATATGGTGATTCTGTATGCAGCAAGGGCTTCCAGGGTCGAAAATCAAGATGCGATTGATGCCTGCATTGTGGGCATGCTAGCAGACCCCAAGGAGGTAAACCTCGATCACTACCATCATTTATCTTCGTACGTTCGACAAGTTATTTAGGGTTATATTAATTTCGTATTTATATGCACAGGCCCGTGCTGGCATTCAAGAGGTCCATTTCCTGCCGTTCAATCCGGTGGAGAAGCGCACAGCCATCACATACATCGATCCCTCTGGTAACTGGCACCGGGCTAGCAAAGGTGCTCCTGAGCAGGTAAAAGAATACTGGCTTGCCTAGTCATGCATTGATCTATGACGATACTATCGCGAAATTGAACCTACCCCTGTAGTTCTATTGTTGCATACAGACACCCCGAGTGAAATTTTTTTGACCCTTCTCAGAGGGTCGATATGTCCAAAACATTAGATTTTCACTCAGGGGTTCTACCTACAACAACAGAGCTCTTTCGAGGGGTCTACCCGTAACAATAGAACTCCTACGGGGTTTATAGAAAGTTTTACTAAACAACAACATACCTTTCAACAAGAAATTGGTTTTCCCTTCCAATTCGGTGACGGGGGTCTGTCCACAATTAACCCGGTTGTCTAGCTTTCGGGCATTTGATTTGCAACATCAACTGCTTGTGCCAGATCATTGAACTCTGCAACTTGAGGGAGGACGTCAAAAAGAAAGCCCATGTCATCATCGAGAAGTTTGCTGACCGAGGCCTCCGGTCGCTGGGTGTTGCTAGACAAGAGGTGCCAGAGGGAAACAAGGAGTCTGCAGGCAAGCCGTGGCAGTTCATTGGGATTCTTCCTCTGTTCGATCCCCCAAGGCACGACAGCGCTGAGACCATTCGCCAGGCCCTCAACCTTGGAGTCAATGTGAAGATGATCACGGGAGATCAGCTCGCCATTGGGAAGGAAACAGGAAGGAGGCTTGGTATGGGGACCAACATGTACCCTTCCTCCGCCCTCCTCGGTGAGAAGAACAATGACGTTACCGGTATTCCAATTGATGAGCTTATCGAGAAGGCTGATGGTTTCGCTGGAGTCTTCCCAGGTAATATACTGGCTTTGATTTTTCTTATACTGAAGATTTTGAGGTTACAGAAGAAACATTACGTTCTACTAGGTTCTTCACAGTGTAGATTTTTCGTAAGGTGCATACTTTACTCGTTATTAAATCAAGAATGCAGCGGTTGAATTGTACGTTGAAGTTTTACCTTTTAACTGAAGAAAATAATTTTTCTAATTTCTTTATCCTACTTGCGGTCTATTCAAATGCACATACTCAGTTATTCCCCTAGGAAAAGTTTAAGGAAATACCCCGTGATTCCCTTCATGTGTGCTAATGCTTTCCCCATTCTGAACACCTTTGTTTTTCCTTCTGAAATTTGAGCGTCTAAAAGTTGATAATACACAATTCTTCGTGTGGGCTTTCGCAGAGTCATCCTTGTAAGGTTTTCATATTTTGTCACAATACTTAAAAATACCTCATTTGGCATTTATCATTGGTCTATTCTTGTTGCCAACGTACCTAAAAATAGTAGTCAGTGCTTTTTTTTTTTAATATTTGAGAGAAAATAGGAGCAGTACTCATTGCCCAAATACCTGCGGCTGAGGTATTATTAAGCTGCTCTTCTATGTTCATCATCGCATTGTAAAAATTGGAAGACCTTATTTGTGAGTTATCTACACACATCATTAAGTGGATAGTAAAGTAAATTTGGAATTATATGCTTACTGGTGCAAGTTACATGGTAATTCATATATCAATATTAAAAAAAAACCAAAATTTGCAGAGCACAAATACGAAATCGTGAAGCGCCTCCAGGATAGAAAGCACATCTGTGGCATGACTGGTGATGGTGTGAATGACGCCCCTGCCCTCAAGAAAGCCGACATTGGCATAGCTGTGGCTGATGCCACCGATGCTGCTCGTGGTGCATCTGACATTGTTCTGACCGAGCCTGGACTCGGTGTCATAGTTCATGCCGTGCTCACTAGCCGTGCAATCTTCCAGAGGATGAAGAATTACACAATCTATGCCGTCTCCATCACCATTCGAGTCGTTCTGGGATTCTTGCTAATTGCACTTATCTGGAAGTTTGATTTCTCTCCATTCATGGTTCTTATCATTGCTATCCTAAATGATGGGACTATTATGACTATTTCGAAAGATCGAGTGAAACCTTCACCAGTTCCAGACTCATGGAAGCTAAAGGAGATTTTTGCTACTGGTGTTGTTCTGGGTACTTACCTCGCCGTTATGACAGTAATTTTCTTCTGGCTTGCACGGGATACTGACTTCTTCTCGGTGAGTGATCCTATAGAGGAACCGTAGCTTCATTGCTATTATTTCTGCAAGCATAGGAAAATATCTTGGTATCTTAACAATTTGCAGCATATATGGTATGGTAGACCATAGAAATAGTGTGTCACGATTTTTGTCCTAGGATTTTGCCTAACCTGCAGAATCCAAATGTAGGAATTTTCGAGCTCCTCGTATAGTTCAAGTATTAAGTTTGATGTCTTCAACAATAATTCCTAAATCTTTTTTCTTGCAGGACAAATTTGGAGTAAGATCGATTAGAGAAGAGGATGAGCAGCTTATTGCAGCTTTGTATCTTCAAGTTAGCATAGTGAGCCAAGCTCTTATCTTTGTCACTCGAGCAAGGAGTTGGTCCTATGTTGAGCGCCCCGGTCTTTTGCTTCTTGGTGCCTTCGCAGCTGCACAACTGGTAGTAATAGTTCAAGCGAAAAAAATTGCCATTGAATAACTTTTTATGATTTCTATCAGATTATGATCTTTTTATTTATTTGTGCAGGTGGCTACAATTATTGCAGTATATGCACACTGGGGCTTTGCTCGCATTGAAGGTTGTGGATGGGGATGGGCAGGAGTCATATGGCTCTATAGCATCGTCTTCTACATTCCACTTGATATCCTTAAGTTCATGATCCGCTACAGTCTGAGCGGGAAAGCTTGGCGAAGACTCCTCGAGAACAAGGTCATTGTTGATTCTTGTGACATTTATTTTCGCTAAGTTAGTGTCTTCTGTTTCTCAAATGGAATTGGAAAATGCAGACGGCATTCACAACAAAGAAGGATTACGGAAAAGAGCAAAGGGAGGCGCAGTGGGCTCTTGCTCAGAGAACGCTTCACGGGCTTCACAAGGGTGATAATTCTGGCCTCTTCAATGACAAGAACAGAGAGTTGTCTGAGATTGCTGAGCAGGCGAAGAGGCGAGCTGAGATGGCTAGGTAAAATTTGGGAGATCTTTGACTGATGCTCTTAACAATTCTTAAAATTTTCATACCTCTAAAACTAAACTGTAGAATTTGGAGGCCAAATTGAGATTAAACATTGACTGATATTCTTAACTACATTTAAATGCTTCCGTACACTAGCGTACCACATGCTAGGTGATGTTTCTGCATGCTCCTTCGCAGTATGCTGATGGGATTTACCGGTAAAACTTTGAGAATTGAGGAAAGCTATTGAATCAACAAGGATATATCACCATCAACTAAATGAAATAATTCATGATAGATTACACCAGCTTGTTTAATATATTTGGAGGCCAGTTATAGATCTATTATATGTAGCATGTAAACTTCAAAGTTTTGGGAATTTCTGGTGAGCCTTAACAATTTTTGAGATCATTCCCACGTGTTTGTATTCTTCACTAGGGAACTGATACTTCTTATTATAACACAAATTATGACATGGGATTTGTGCTTCATTTACTGGAGACTTGATGCCTCTGTTTTTCCTTTCACATGCACACAAGAAGAGGAAAAAAAAGCTTTTCATGGATTTCCTCTTGATTGTGGTTTTCTTATGAATCCTTATAGCTTTAATTTCTAAAAGCGCACACACTC